AAATCAGTACTGTAAATTCTCTCATTTGTTTCAAATAGTTAGTGTCCTTTACACAAATCACACAGACAAATTCAACAGTGTTCTACAAATACAGTATTTTAAAACAACTGCCAAACATATAAATTAATGGTTTAAAGTCCAATTAAGAGGTACTGATGTCAGAGGTAGCTAGAATGAGATTTGAGGTCACTGACCTTGACCTTTGACCACCAAAATCTATTCCTGAGATATGATGTTCACAACAGTGGGATGGACAGACAACCTGAAAACATAATGCCTCCAGCCGTGGCTACTGCCAGCACAGAGGCATAAATATTTTCAAAAGTAAGAACCCCCTCCCCTTCTCTTCCTCCTTCTCCTCTTCCTCACCTTAATCATCTGCTTGCAGACTCTCATCAGCTGGTAGTCGAGCTCAGGGTCAGTCATCTCCACCTCCTGCAGCCGGAAGATTCGCTGGTGGCAGCGCTGACTGAGCTGCTTCTTCTGCTCCTTCAGACACTCAATCATCTGAGGAGGAGTGAGAGAAAGTGAGGAAATGGGGTGAGAGAAGGAGAAGAGGAGAGAAAAAGAAAAGGAAAATAAGTAGGAGGGAGGAGAGGAAAGAAGGAAGATGAAAGAAGTGGAGGATGGACAGGCCAGAGGAAAGAAAGAAAAGTGGAGGGAGAGGAAGAGGGGAAGAGAGAGGATGAGGAGAGAAGGAATATATCTGGACATCTTTCTTTCCTCCTGATGTACAGTATGTTCTAATGTTTCTTACCTGAGCATTCCCAAAGTTCACATTGGGGCAAAGTCGACTAATGTCAGACTTACAGGGATCATACAGCTCTGGTTCCAGCCGAATATCTTCGGACTGAGAGGAGGAAACAGGAGAATTTTAGGGAGATTTATTGTAATTTTTATTTTACAAAATGTTATCAAAACTGCCTGTCTGGCTGACACGTGAACACTGCCGTGCCTGACACAGCTAGAAACACGCTCCTATCGGGACACAATACGGTGAACGACTGCACTGTCAGAAACCTTGTCAAAGAGAAATGTGACTTCATTGAAGGCACTGCTGAATTATGACTCATACACCCAGGCAGGACTTCTTATAGGTATAAAGGCTAATGCCGTTGTGCACAACCACGCTTTAATTACAGTGACTAACCTAAGAAGAGACTATATAAATATAAAAGTAATATATAAATATGTGCACCAACTGTGAAAACATGAGTTCAGATAAGTGGAAATAAATCTGTGTGTGCGTGTGTGTTTTACCATCTCTAGCTCCTCCACGCGCAGCTGTTTACGACATTTCAGAGAAACCCGCTGGTCCCTGACATCCTGCAGTGTGTCATTCCTCACTGTGGTGCTCAGGCAGATGACAACATCCACTCTGTGAGGTGGTGGACAAGACTTTAATCAGCTCAACTGGATGCATAAAACACTAACTCACTTTCTCACAAGGTGTTGTGCAAAAAAAGTAAACAGGGCTTCAGATGTAAATTAAGTCTCCTGTTCCTGGATGTTTACATGGAAACTGAACTCACTTTTTCTTGATGTTTGGACACAACCGCAAAACATCCTCCTTACAGGCCATCTTGAACTTATAGGAGAACCGGAAGTCCTTCATTTGAATCTGAAAGTTAGGCACAGGGAGGGACAGAAAAACAGACATTATTAATCATTAAAAAAGCAGCTACAGAAAAACAGTGGCATCTGTTTCCTTAAATTTACAGTTTACTTTCTTCTGTCCTACTGTATATTGTAACTATTTATCACCAAGGGAATCACAGGTCTAGAGAAGATTAAAAACAGTCCACTGTTTCAAATGGTACTTTCACAGAAACAGAAGAAGATACAGTAAAACACCAATCCTCTGAATTTAGATTACAATAGAAAATGTATGGAAATGTTTCCAAACCATAAAATAATCACATGCACCGTAGCTCAACTTTACACTGAAATCTGTCCACAGGTTTTTAAGATAATCCTGCAAATGAACAAACAGCACCAAAGACCTTATTGGCAATGGAAACAAAAGGGTTAAGAGACACAGAACGTTCCCTTGGATCTGGCATCTGCCAAAGTGACAATGGAAACTGCTGTTAGTTTGATACCGACTTTTTAATCCATCAGAGAACCTACCAAAACTAAAAAACTAGTACAGAGAAAGACAAAGTGTACGGAGAGACAGAGAAACAGACGTTGTCATGATAACTGACCAGCTGGAAGTGTGTAACGCCGACTGAGCACTTGTCATTCATTTCTTTCTGGTGTTTATTCTGAACCAGACACTCCATCAGATCCCCTGTGTCGATCTGGTTATCAGCTACATCCTACAACACACACACACACACACACACACACACTTTGAACAATCCAAACTGTTATTTACATGCCATCCAAGGAAATATATTATAGGCAAGTCTTACAATCTAAAGCTATGCTTCAATCCACCTCATGGTCGGTGGCACCAGGGACATTACAAATCGCTGCTGGGGACCATAAATATACACTGGATTTATCATTTGGTCCACAAATGAGTTAAACATGACTGTAGAGTCAAAATCACTCTGACCCAATGTCAATGGTGACCTTCAAAACATACGAGTGACTTATTTATATATGATGGACTGTTAGTTTATCCACCTCCTTCGTACTATTTGTTTGTATACAGTTATATTCAAATGTTTTTGAGTCCTGTGTTCAGTGGTCTATCGCCCACTAAAATCTAAGGAAATTGTGAATGAATTTGGGGAGTTTCTGACAGAGCTTATGCCAAAATGTGACAGTCTCCTGATTTGCGGCGACTTTAACATCCACGTCCACTGCACGTCTGATCAGACTTCGATGCCCTGTTGGAATCCTTGGATCTCACCCAATTAGTAGCCTGTCCCACCCATCGACAAGGACACACGCTGTGTGTGTCAGGGACGTATCAGACTTGGTTATTTCTGACCATTTTTCTATCCGGTTTGAGGTCCGAGTGCCTCCAACTGCACTCAGGCCCACTGCCTTACGTCACGTCATCGCCGCCGGACCATTACTGGCCTTGTTCCAGCCTATTTGTCTGATCTTTTAACTATTCATACCCCAGTCAGAGCGCTGCGTTCCTCTGAGCATTTGTCTGGGTCAAAAAGTGGGGTGATTGTTCTTTTGCCATATATGCCCCCAAGCTGTGGAATACCCTGCCTCCTGAGCTTTGGTCTATAACTGAATGGTTTTTAAGTCTAAATTAAAGGCGCACCTATTCATTTAATTTATAGCACTGGCACTATACAGGTGCCTACAGGCTTTCTGATTTTATATTCTTTAATCTTATTCTGTTTGTACTTTGACTCATTTTTATTGTACAGGAGTTTTATAGTTGCTTATAGACCGTGGTTTTAAATTTGTGTAATTTTAACTTTTCCTTTTTGTTAGTTTGTGTCTTAACATGTTCTGCTTTTATGTTTTGTTGTGAAGCACTTTGAGCACCCTTGGGTGTTGTAAAGTGCTATATAAACAGATTATTATTATTATTTATCACTGGGCAAATGACATATTGTTGGTTTTGAAAATCAAAGTAAACACAAAGCCTGCGGGACACAGTTTTTAATTTCATAAACAGAATAAAAATAAGCAATAATTTCAGCATGTTCAAAGGTTGGAGCAATAAAATGTGCAATTTTCCCAGGTGTGCTCAAACGTATGCAGATAACTGTAACATATATAAAAGTTAGTGTACTGTATGTGTGTGCATGTACTCACATGGCAGTGGGTCTGGATGACAGGTTCACAGGCTCTAATGACCAGAGCGTCAATCTGGATGTCCTGCAGCCAACGGTGAAAAAGAAACGGACACAGAGTCGCAGGTGAGACATTTCATCAAATCAAAAACTACAATAAGCATAAATACTGTAGGTTTATACTGTAGGAATTATTTTAGCAACTGTAGGGATGTTTCACACCATACTAGCAGGTCATGGTGATCCTCATAAAGAAATACATTTAACGCCTGAGAGCCATACATGTGAGGCTTCTCCGGGGACAGTTTAATCTGGCTTCCAGCTAAAGTTAGTGTGATGACCAGCCTGTTCTCTTTTCTAGTTTTAAATTTTTTTCCTGGCCTCGAGTTTTGACCTCTGACTCCAGCTCTGTCAGGTTGCCCACGACATCCCTGCAAGCAGACACCAGGTCCTCCAAATGATCCTGCAGACACTCCAACTCCTGGACACACACACGCACTAGGTCACATGACAAGTATTCAGAAGGCTACAACATGCAAACCACATTGAGGTTCATGTAACTCTTTCAATATTTGACTACATGTCTAGTTTTGGACAAAAACCCAAGCAAAGGAAAACTGCAGCAGCGGGTATCAGCTGCCTGACTCACCTGTCCAGTGTCTGTCTTCTCACTGCACCACTTGCCCAGGTCGGACATGCAACGCTTCTGCAGCTCAGGGTCCAACTTCACATCAAGTGCCCTCTGGTGGAGAATCCTCTGAACCTCCACCTTACAGTCCCGAGATAGCTGCAAACATACACACAGTGGTGAAGGAAGTGTTCAGATCCTTCACATAAGTAAAAGACACTGAAAATGCCACTTAAGTAAAAGTATGAAAGTTTAATTAGGCAATAAAGTATCGATAATAAAAGTAGTCCATGTAGAACATTGTCCCCTGTGAGTGTTACACTGATACATTACATTGATTTAATGTTTAAGCTGCATCTTATTGCTGACTGGTTGAAGACGAGCTCATTTTTAAGTTTTATATCAGATCAGAGCTAATGATTTTTTTCATACTGATTATTTTCTTGATTAAACAACTGACTCTTTGGTTTGTAGGGATAAAAACAATTTGAGAATCACAGTTACCCCAAGCAACAAATTCAGACTGTTTTATTCAACCAATAGTCCAGAAAAACAGCAAATGATCACATTTAAAAAAACAGAACCATCCAAGCTAAAAAGTTAAAAGGGTGATTTCTGTTGCTACTGTGTTTATAAAAAGACAGTGACAACTGGACTCCAGATTATCCCGGCTTATCAGCATCCAACAGCCGCTGCCATCATCATAATCAATTCAACCCTTCACCGGGATCAGTACTGACTGATTTAGCTGGACCACCACCCGCTTACCTGTTCAGCTGGGTTTACCTGTTAAAGTTAAACACATCAGAGTTACACCTGCCAGTCGTGCTGACAGAGAGAGAGTGAAAGTATCCTATATACACACACCAGACCTGTACATGTGTAAAACTCAAACGGACCAGAACTTTAGCATTCACGAATTAAAAACATCAAAACCTCTCCCCTGGCATTACATTCAAAGGACAGAGTGTGATGCAGTATTAGAAGTCAGAGTGTGTGCTTCTGGTGTCACTGTACCCGGCGTCCCTGCTCCTCAGTACGGTAGGCGTGGCGATAGAGGCACGAGAAGACTGCGCCCGGCGGCATCAGCTCACTTGTCTCATTCCAGCCATGTGTGTGGCAGAGCCGGGAGGCGTCACCCTGACACTTCTTATATAGGATGGGGTCCAGTCTGGGTGACAGAAGAAGGAATAACTTCATTTGTAATACAGCGTAGCCATGAAACGTCTTGCCTCTGTTTTACAGCTCAGATTGCAAAGAGAAGCATTACAGCCATGTGAAAACAATGACAACTGAGATGATGGATTCAGGTTCATTGATTCCTGTCAGAGAGCAGGCTCACTTCCAGTCTCTGGATATGAAGTACTGCAGTTCCAGCAGACGGTGCTCACAGTCCTCCACCATTTTCTCTGTGTACAGATGCTCCATCAGGCACGACAGGATCCTACACATACACACCAGACAATAACAGGGCACATAAAATTAATTCATTATTTATCATTCACTCTTATAATATTAATGATCAAAACAATTTCTAAAGTGTTTACCTAATTAAATGTAAGGCTTTTTAGGTCTTTGTCAATACCACATAATCGCCATCTTACCAGTTGAAAAAGGACTGATGAATTACAGAGAGACAAATACCTCAAACAACGTCCCTTACTGTGGTCCTATATATGAGGAGTGTGGGGCCTTTTACTTGTCTACGCCCAGGGACATAATGTTTTATAATCCGTCCATGCTTGGACCCAGATAAGTGGCAGAAAGTTGATAGATGGTTAAAAAATAAATAAGTAAATAAAAAATTCTTAGTTTAAGTTTTTACTCGAATCAGCATGTGTGCAGCTGCTTCCTGACAGCCAAAAGTTATAACCCATGTTACGATCTACAGCACTCCAGAAGAAATATTTAGCATCTTTATAAAATAAATGTTAAGATTTTTTAAAACCTCCTAAGCTCCTTCTTAAACTCAATCTGAGACCTGCATATGCCTGAAAAATTATCAACTGATCATCATGTTGAGTTTATTTAACGCAAAGTGTGTGTGTGTGTGTGTAAAACAAGCGTACATGGGGTCTCCAGTGCGGATGTGTTTGCAGGCGGTCTGGATGACGGACTCGCAGGCCTCGTTGAGAGCTCGGTCGATCCGGTAGTCGGCTCCAGGGTCGGCAGATTGGACAAGAGTCTGCAGCTGCAGTGGAAACAAATTAAGGAAAACATCAACTGTCAGTGACTGGATTTTATTTATATTTCAACTTTTTATTTCTTGATAACCTATTAATAAATAAAGTCTCCACCAGCTGTGCCCAGCAACCGAAAGCTGGACCACTCAAGGAACTAAGGGGAGTGGTTTTAGAAGGTGACTTACTGCCCCTTGAATTCCCTTTGAATATAACAATTTATTGTACAGACAGAAACTAAACTTGATTCTGCAACTGTAAGGACTACTTCTCTGCTCACATTTATTCAGAAAACCATTTTAATGTGAATTAAAGAGAAAGTGAATTTTAGAGGAAAACACCAGACACAAAGGACAAAGGAAGAAACAAAAAAGCAGAAACCAAGAAAATACTGTGCTGGATTTCCAAGGCTGACGTATAGCAAAGCCACAGCAAAGCACAGAGACGGCTCCAGCCACGGTCCCACCTCTCAGCTTTGTGTATCTCAGTGAATGTTGTGCTGTGGTCTTACGGCGCTCTGGCAGACGCTGTCAATTGCAGTGCTGCGCTCGCCGCGTCCGATTCGCATCAGGCAGTGCAGTGTGCGGCCTTTGCGATGCAGTCCGGAGCAGTGAGCCTCAATCTCGGCCCGGCAGTGCAGCACAATCTCTGGACTCAGAGAGAAATCCTCCATCAGCATCCGCCGGTAGTCCAGCATCTCCCCCTGACACTCTCCACTGACCGGACGACCTGCACAGCACAGAATCAAATATTATTACTGACACAATTAGGCCTGAATGATGCAAAGGAGGAGCACATTGTAACTGCACATCCTTTGTTTCATTTACAGTGGGTACGGAAAGTATTCAGACCCCCTTGAGTTTTTCTTTTTTAATAAATCTGCAAAAATGTCAAACATTCTGTGTTTTTCTGTCAATATGGGGTGCTGTGTGTACATTAATGAGGAAAAAATGAACCTAAATGCTTTTAGCATATGGCTGCAATATAACAAAGAGTGAAAAATTTAAGGGGGTCTGAATACTTTCCGTACCCACTGTTTATCAATCTTACTGACATTATAAAACAGAAATATTTTTGATATTATGCTTTAATAATGGGGAGAATATGCAGAATATCCATAACATGCCCACATCAGAAACAACACACCCATTTTGGCGGTGTGTGCCAGTACAAACAGGAGAACACCGTGCAGTGTGACTGGTTATTACTAGAGGTTTACCACCGTGGTGCTCTGCTGCCATCAGGGGGCACAACTTTCAACATAATGCATGGTCAGATTTTTTAAATTAATACTGATAAAAATGTCTGCATTGCCCAGCTTAGTCCAAGCCTTTTCCATAAAAACCTGTGCTTAATGATTGACAAGACAGAGTTAATTAGAAAAACAGAAGTGTCAATCACACCTCGCCCCTCCGCCACTCACCACGGTGCACGGCGGCCTCCAGGCACAGCAGCAGGTACGACAGTCGGGCCTCACGGGCTCGAGGCAGGTTGGTGTCCAGGCTGCAGCGCTGTTTTCTCAGGTCCAGCTTACAGGCCTTAGCCAGAGAGTAACTGACTCTGTAGTCCTGAGAAATCAGCTTCTGACGGGTGGTGAGAGCATCACGGCACTGTGGAGGTGAGGGCGAGGAGAAAGTGGTGAGCATTAGTCACTGAACAGGTTCACTTCAGTGCGAACCAAAGACTGTAAATTCATGGGTCAGTGAGAATTCTTCTAGCTTTGCCCCAGGGGTGAGATGTTTTTTTTGGCCATACCTTTTCTGACATTGCCTCTTCAAACTTGTGATTGAACAGACACTTGTAGACTTTGCCTTCTCCTGCTGGAGTCTGCAGAGGGGAGGCAATAAAGGGACAGGCACTGAGATTATGATTAGATTATAAAGCACCATACCGATGGTTGTACATGACATGATGAGGAGGTGATGCATCTGGTCCCATTGTTTGCGACTCAGTAGCCCAGTGAAAATATTTTAATGAAACCTGGTGGCCAAAGTGAAAAGTTCTCGTGCCACGACAGGAGTTTTTATAAAAATGTTTTAGTTGTTCTTGGGGAACGTTGAACTTCTTTTTCTCTCAACTAATGCACAGTTCACTGAAAAATACGTCAAGAAACCAAGATGCCAATGAATGGCACTGATTTTGAACCAGAATAACATATAATTTCCATGTGAAGTGAGTGTAGAAACTTGTCCATGTTGTTTTCTGCCAGTATAAAATCCTGAAGAAACCAGCTGAGTCTCCTTACGTTCTGGCAGAATCTCTCTCTGTCCTCTCGGCATGAGAAGTAAAGGTGTCGGTCGAGGTGGAAGTCGTCTGATGACAGCTCTGCCACACGCAGAATTGCCCTCCTACACTCCTCTTTGATTGGACGAACATGACCCTGCTGCTCCGCCTCCCTCACCAGGGCCTTCTCCAGACAGGCGATCACTTCACCCTGGGAATGGATGTCCTGGCAAAGCACGGTGGATAAAACGAAATAAAAGGAAGAGAATGAGTGTGAGGAGAGACAGGGAAGACAATGTTCACAAGGCATGGATGGATTATGAAAAAAATGGGGTCCTGGGCAGAGACAGGTGAAAAGCTCCTCACCGACTGAAAGAGACGTTAAATGACTACAAAATATGGCTTCATCCATTGTAGTCATTTAACATCTCTTTTACACCATTCTTCATCTCTTTATGGTCATTTTTTGGTCTTTTTTATAGCCATTTTGTGGTCATTTGTTGTGTTTTTTTTTATCTGCCCACCAAGTACTACTGTCTCTGGAGCTTTCATTATGCTGTTTGTCCAAATGAGATGCAGTTGAATGCTCCAGAAAAAGCCATTAAGTGAACCTTGCTATATTTTTCATATGCAAAAATGTTTTGTTATGTAATTAACTAAACTAAACGGAGTAGTTTCACTCACTTTAATTGCATTTTGTAAACATACATTACTTGTTTCTCTTTTTAAAACTTTTCTGTACTAGTCTTCCAAATAAAAATAATAAATCTTCTGCTGAATTTTGCCCTTTTGTTCTGTTAATTGTAACCCAGAGTGTTATACACACACACACACCTTACCTTGTGTCCTACATTGATGCTGCCGCAGTGCAGATTGTTGATGTCCTCTTTACATTTGTCCATGAAGCCACAGATCAGTCTGAAGTCACTGAAGATTATAGTGGTCATCTTCGTGATGTACTGGTTACACTGGTACTCGCTGATGTTACCACGGTGATCCACAAGGCAGGACACCAGGTAGCCCCTCCCTCGCTCTTCTTCATTACACTCCTTTATCTGAAGATATTGAACATGTGACAGGTCAAAGTACAGCAGAGGACAGGCTGTACTTAATGGAAGTAGAAAAACCTAAAATACTCTACAAATACAAAGTTAAACTGTCCTGGTGATGATTTGGCGGATGGGAAACAAGAAGATGGGGGGGGGTCACCTGCAATAAATGTCCATAGCCAGACAAACTGGATGTGTAGACATGCATGGCACCTGCCGAAATCACTCGGCTATTGAGGCGCCATGAATAGTGTTTTGAAATGCGTCCACACTTTACTTTCAGTGCCTTATTGCTGCACAGCAGTGTGCATTTCAGCAAAACAATGGTCTGTGTATCTGTTATACTATTATATAACCACTCATAGGGCTGGACACACTGCAGTGAATGGGAAGATGTGTCCAAACCTTTGGGTGGTACTGTAATTAGATCAGATTTATTATTCATGCATTAAAGAACAGGTTCAGGATTATTCAGGTTGGTCTTACTGATGTTGACATACTGTATGTACTGTATGTGAGAGTAGGTCTTAGCTGCTGTACAGCTGAAGCCAGAAGTTCACATAGACCTTAGCCAAATACATTTAAGCTCCTGACATTTAATCCTATAAACATTCCTTGTCTTATGTCAGTTAGGATCACTACTTTATTTTAACAATATGAAATATCAGTATAATAGTAGAGAGAAAGATTTATTTCAGCTTTTATTTCTCTCATCACATTTCCAGCGGGTAAGAAGTTCACATACACTTGATCAGTATTTGGTAGCTTTGCCTTTAAATTGTTTAACTTGGGTCAAACATTTTAGGATGTCTTCCACAGGCTTCTTCCAATAAGTTGCTGGAATTTTAGAACTTTCCATCAGACTGGTGGAACTGAGTCAGGTTTGTAGGCCTCCTTGCTCGCACACGCTTTTTCAGTTCTGCACAAAAATTGTTCCATTGGATTGAGGTCAGGCCTTTGTGACAGCTGCTCCAATTCCTTGACTTTGTTGTCCTTAAGCCAATTCAATTTTTGTTTTATTCAATCAGGACATTTCTCCAAAAGGAAGATCGTTGTCCCCATGTGCAGCTGCAAACTGTAGTCTGCCTTTTTTAATGGAGCTCTTGGAGCAGTGGCTGTTTCCTCACTGAGCATCCTTTCAGGTTATGTCGATAGAGGACTCATTTTACTGTGGATACAGATACTTTGGTACCTGTTTCCTCTGGTGTCCTTACAAGGTCCTTTGCTGTTGCTCTGGGATACTTTTTAGACCAAAGTACGTTCATCTCTAGGAGACAGAACGCATCTCCTTCCTGAGCAGTGTGACGGCTGCATTGTCCTGTGGTGTTTATGCTTGTGTAGTATTGTTTGAACAGATGACCATGGTACCTTCAGGCATTTGAAAATTGCTCCCAAGGATGAAACCAGTCTTCTGAAAGTTCACTATTTTTTTTCTGTTGTCTTGGCTGATGTCTTTTGGTTTTCCCATGATGTCAAACAAAGAGGTACTGAGTTTGAAGGTAGGCCTTAAAATACATCAACAGCTGCACCTCCTATTGACTCAAATGATGTCAATTAGCCAATCAGAAGCTTCTAAAGCCATGACACCATTTTCTGGAATTTTCCAAGCTGTTTAGAGGCACAGTCGACTGAGTGGATGTAAACTTCTGACCCACTGGAATTGTGATATAGTGAAATAATCCATCTGTAAACAGCTGTTGGAAAAATTACTTGTGTCATGCATAAAGTAACGTCCTAAAAAAATCAGTTTTAATGAGTTCAATCTACAGTAAGTGTATGTAAACATCTGACTTCAACTGTATACACAGCCCCTGCTCTGCAGAGGGATGTAGGTGTAGGTTTGTTAACTGTTCTTTACTTCTCAAGTTGTCCTCTGAGTTTGTACTTTGAAGACTTGATAACTGGAGAATTATTTTAGTGGAGCAAACGATCTTTTCTCTATTATATTGATACATTATTTAATATTTACATGTTATGCACTATAACAAAGTGAAAGCAGTAAATACATCAGTACTGTAATTTATTAAGCCAGTCCTGTCCTGTAAAAACACACTGCTGCTAGTCCATACACTGTATAACTGTCAACTAGTGTAAGTCAAAGTGTATAGTGTAACTCAGCACTGAAACTACCATTTTATTTATTTTCCCCATAAGTGATGAAGTGCATCATGATGACAGTGCCATGTAAACTGACAGAAGCTTGAGCTATAAGTCTCCTGTAGTGCAGACTGACCTCAGCAATGGTGCTCTTGCAGACCTCGATGGCCACGGACTCAAACTTTGGATCCGTAGTCAGATTGAGTTTGTAGTTCCACAGGAGCTGAGAGAGAGAGAGAAACATTACATTTACCTACATTAATACAACAGAGACATGCAGATTTTTTAATGATTACAAACAAAACTTATTTGCTAACCATTAAAGCTTAAACTGACGCTCCTCAGAATTAAACAGAGGCAATCCCATTAACTTGAACAAAAAGAGAAGCTGTTTATGAATCTGTCACTTTGCCACAGTTTTAGCAATATTTTGCAGGCATTCCAAACATCTGTCAGAAAAGTGCAGCCACTGTGAACCTCTGAGCTTTAATACTGGTTTGTACAGGTAGATGTAATGTAAAGGTGTTCTCTATATCTATGGGTGAGGCATTGAACATCAATGATTTATCAGTAACCATCGCCGAGTACTAACACCCCTTTCACATTTACAGCAACTGGAAAACACAGGGTGCATGAGAAAAGTGCATCCACCGTGACAATTTAGCCTGAAACATATTCCAATTAGTGTTAAGGTAAGTTGAAAACGTTTTAATGGAGATAATGTGAATTAAATGTAATTAGGTTTGGGAGCAGGACCTGACCTGAACTACTCACACTATTTAAACCCCCTGAACCATCACACTTCCACTGTTCGCTACCCACCCAAGTTCTCCCACCCTTCTTTTCATCCTAATCTCTTTTGTCTTATTCTTGCTGGGGGTCTGCCGGGGCCCGAGAGCAGCGCAGACCTCTAAAGCCTTGGTCAAAACTGAAAGTACATAAGTATGTCATATGTGCTTAGTGAGGGCATGTCTGTGCTAATGAAAAGAAAAGTCTGCACAACAAACTGACGCTGAGGAGTTTGAAAAATGTGGGCATTGATCAAGGAAAGAGGTTCTATAAAAAGATGGTTTTGATTAGCACTACAAAAATGATATATTCCTGCTTTTTTGGACCTTGATCCTTGCCAGGAACTACAAATCAGCACACTGAAGCCTGCCCTGCTTCAATTTTGATTGAATTCTTTTAAATAAATAAATAATCTGGCAAGTCTGGCAGTTCATAGCACTGGAATGATGTTCTTAAGGGTCACGGATGACGCATTCTGTCTGGGTGTTGCTACACCCGTCTGCAGCACCTGACACAATCAAACACGGCATATTGACAAATAGACAGAGACACTAGCTTGGAACAACGTTAACCTGGTTTTCATCAAACAGTAGCTGGAGAATCGGCACTTCTGTTTGTCCACAAATAGACGTGTTTCTTCCTTATCTCTCTTTACAATCTTGCAATTTTCCAAATACAAATATTATTCCGTTTTACAGGAGCACGATGCTGAGTGGGCCCCGAGAGTGTATGTGTGTTGGGGGGGTAGAGCAGCCGTCTTGTTAGGGTGATTTCCATTTTTAGATAGAAACCAATATAATTTTAGTCTTTTCTGTTTAATATAAAAGAAGACACCTCACAGTCTCCCAACCGGAAGGTTAAAGGTTCGAATCTCGATGCCTGCAGTCCACATGTCGAAGTGTCCTTGGGCAAGACACTGAACCCTCCAAGTTGCCCGCGATGGCGGTGCATGCACAGCGGCTCTCAGCCCTCGGCTCCAAATATAATTTCGTTGTACGTTTCACAATGTTACAATGACAATAAAATAAAGCTTCTTCTTCTTCTTCTTCTTCATCACTGACTCAATACTGATTATGCCAATTGCCTCACAGCTTGCCTGTGTAAAGACGTTTCCAAAATCCTATTTTGTGTTTGAATTCTTCCTGTTCTGTCTGTCCTTTTATTTATGTGTTTATTTTTACCTGCCAGCGAGGCTCCAGGTGCAGCAGCCACAGATAACAGATACTGACAGTCAGACTGTCCCGAAAATAACGGCAAGACAAAACGAGGAGAACTGTGTGTGTGTGTGTGTGTGTGAGAGAGAGAGAGAGAGAGAGAGAGTGCAGCCAGAGCTTTCCAGTGCTGCAATAAAGACAGGCCAAGTGGTCCATTAACCTTGTGGCATTTCATAAACCTGTCCGCTGTTAATCGCTGTGAACTCTGAACACTAAAGGTTTATCACCCGCAGGACATCTGAGGACGAGCCTTAAAGCAGAGAAATGCCAGACTGAACATCAGAGGGTGGAGACAGTACAAATTTTTTTTACATTATGAGCTGAGGATCCTTCAAAGCTCTGTTACTATTCAGACTGCAGAGAGAAACAGGTGAAGGTAGTTTATTTAGAGATTATTAATGCTAAATAAAGAATACATTACTTCCATTTATTCAGCAGAAGTGTGGATGGTGAACTGTCTATGTATGAGCATTTTATTTGAAATTCTAGTCAAGTTTCAAAGATTTCACACATGTAATCTTAACTGAAGGGAAACAATACTGCAAGTATTATCAATCATATTTCGATTTGATGGAAAGCTGCAAGCACAAATAACAGAGTTCAACAGTTTAGCTCAGTACAAGAATTATACACCGTTCATTAAACGTGTAAATAAGTACAAGTTCTACAATATATGACATATTAGTATCCATTATGGAAAAAGCTGCCTAAAATAGCATATTTAAGGAGAACTGGGGTCCGAGAGGTTAAAAATCCTCCACATCACAGACACTCAGGCGACGGGTCATTATGGGCAACCGGGGCAAAGCACAGTTTTAGTTCTGCTGAGTAACCTGGAAATGATGATGATTCTGGATTAATGCATTACTTAAAATACTTGGTTGCTGTTCAGTGGGGGGGTAATTTAACAGTTTTAAAATTACGTTCTTAATTGCGCTTCACTTAAGAGGCCTTTACCAACACGCATGCTCAGAGTCTTTTATAATGGATCCAGGTGACGAGTGGGGCTGACTAACTGTTGCTGCCTGCCTGACACTGATGGGAACGTCATTAGTTCTGCGTGTATCTGCTCATTAACCAAAGTGCTGGAAAATCAATGGCACTACAAGAAAAGAGGTTTTACAAAGCTTTTAGAATTCATCCAGAGTAGGGAGGACATGACTGTGTGTATACATGTACTGTATGTGTGTGTTTTGGACGGAAGACTTACATGGTTACAGTCCGGAGCAATCTCAGTTTCCTGCAGAAAGACAGACAGAGAAAGAAGTCAAAGGCCATTTTCCTCAGTGAATTCAGACATGTGTGAACAAACAGCTAAAAAGCTGAAAGAGGGAGCTTGATTAGATTCCACATCAGTGGATGGAAAAGCTGGAGATGGGCTTCTCAGACCAGCACACACCTCAGACAGTTAAACCCCACTTAAACAGGTATAAGTGGGGTTTATCCATTCATCTATTATCTACAGTAAACAGACCGTCTCACAAAGGGTCGTGGAGGGGCTGACAGAGGCAGGGACCCTGGGCAGATTGCCAGTCTATCACACAGCTGACACATACAGACAGACAACCACACACCATCCCATTCACACTAACTTAGAGTCACTCAAAATAACTGTTATGTCTCAAGGAGGAAGCCAGAGTACCAGGAGGAAACCTACAGAGGCACAGGGAGAACATGCAAACTCCATACAGAAAGGCCCCGGTCGGCCACAAGGTCTGAGCCCAGAGCCTTCTTGCTGTGAGGCGACAGCGCTAACCACTGCACCACACTTTGGAAAACATATTTAGTTGCTCTCTTTCCGACTCTCACAGGAGTGCATTAACACAGATGTGGGCAAACAACAACAATAAATATTTGAATAGAGATGAAATAATAGGAAACTGGATGCAACCAACATTCAGCAGCGAGAACATTTAGTAGGCTACCACAGAGAAGTGCAGACAGTGACTGTAAATCAAATCAATGTCAGATTTATTCTAGTTTTTTTGTTTGCACCCCTGATAAACATAAAAAAGAAAAAATGGTGTAACAACAACCCAACAGGAGACGTTTGCAACAAAACACGTGAAAGCTCTTCATGTCAGCTTTGTTCTGCCCATGAACGGAGACAAAAAATGTTCTACCTTGACACTAAATGTTTCAGAGACAAAGAAGCAATTATAATGAGGAACGTTATGAGAAGATAAAACGTTGATTGATTGATTTTAGTCAAAATGATTAACTGAGTAACTTAATAATGATAATTTGATAATGAAAATAATCATTAGCTAGAGCCCTAGAACCTGTTCTTCATCCTGCGGTCCCAGATCTGTGGGCTCTTCAAAAAGTTTAGTAGGATGTGTTGTCATGGCAATATGTCCATCATTTCAAATCTGCTCAGCAGCAGGTTTGTTCTCAGGCTTGTTTAAGGTAAAGAAGGTGACCTCTCAAATTTAAACAGGGTCAGAATAAGAAATCCACCCATTTATAGATGCTCCATTTTTACACAAGCACCCCACTGACATCGGAGCAAATATAAGATCATGATGCTCATTTGGTCTTGATCTGATTAGCAATTTATGAAGAACAGGTCCCTAATCTGATGTCATCAAGAGTAAGTTTACTTTTTAGTTAGTTCAGTCCTGTTTTATCTTGAAAATAACCTGTCAACAAATATTCTTCAGCATAATTTTAAATTCATGTCATGAACGTCGTGGGGGTTCTGGCCCTGAGGTTGGGGAACTGCTCTCATAAACGATAATAATCTGACTGAAATAAACAGTGACTGAACAAAGTGACATCCAGCTGTAGCCATGAAGTACAAAGAATCACTGTCAAATAAGAGGAGTTGCACTCCACAAAAACAAAAATGTTGACAACAACACCGTAACAGAGCTGCACTGACAGTCAGCAGTCTGTGGGGCAGACAGTCAGTGCGGAGTCAGTGAGTGAAGTGACAGACTGACCACAACTGAGCGTCTGATCATGACCATAGGCCCCTTTGTGCCAAGGCAAAGCGACTTCCTGTCTGGCAGCTTGTAATGGCCGTGCTGTTTTGTCAAGTGTTGAATTTCAGGACTTAGCCCACCACAAATGAAATTCTCAAACACTGTAATGTAACCACAAGCTGCTTTATGGCCAGTGCTGCCAGACTGTGAGTCTGTGTGTGTGTGTGTGTGTCAGAAGGATGTCTTTTTCTGTAGAAAAGGCAGATTTATGAGAGGCATTTACCTCTTCAGGAGGCCACAGCTGTTACAGCGTGGAAGCGATGTGATTATCTCAGTTTAGAGGGCATCACTCAGGACCAGCGGTGGAGGAGACTGTGTGTGTGGGTGTGTGCGTGTCTGACATTAGCATGGTGGATAATGGAAGCTGACATCAACATGGTGCTGGGGTAGCAGATTAACAAAAAAACAAAAAACACTGGACCAAACATAATGTAGAAACTCTGAGGAATAGGGGTTTTTCTAGTTCTCTCCAGACACAGAGCTCCATCCTTTTAACATATGCACTGGTAACCCTTTTCTTTAACCCCCAGATACAGCAATACATACATTAAAACAACAGCGCCAGCACACAGCTGCATCAGTGTGATATAAAGACATTAAGAATTGTGAATAAGATGTATACTGAGCAGTTTTGCAGTTGATAAATAAACTTGTCAAGTGCTGTCTCATGGACAAAATATGTAACAGAGACAGTCTCTCATCAGCATATTGTACTGTATTTATGTCATACGGTTCCTGGCTACTTATTAACAGACGCCAACAGCAACACCAAACTGTTTTAAGGCAGTGCTGATTTAACTGTAGTTAGAGACTGTGTAGAGACTGTAGTTTCTCGTTTTGCTGAACTACATTGTGTTGCACTGATAAATCAGGATATCCATCTGGCTGGACATAAACTAAACTCCAAAACTGCACAACCCAAATAGCTGCCAATTAATTTCCTGTCAGTCAACTAATCAATCAGTTCCAGTTAGTACATGCACTCCTGTCTGCCTGTCTAATGAGCAGCAGTTTGCACACACTGCTATGAAGCCTATTTGACTGAGAAAAAAAACATTCCTCATATTCACCTCCAAAATAACAGTCTAAAATTAAACTTTGCATGTAGGAGGCAAATCTGGAAACAGACTGTTATACGGGTGGAAAATATCTGGATTTTGATCACAAAGAAATACAACAAAAGCAGGCAGCATCTGTGGTCAGACTTCACCCTGTCAGTCACCGGACACCCGGGATGACTGCACTCACTTCGCACCTTATTCAGTCTGAAAATGAGGTTCCTGAGCACAATGCATAGGTGGCAGTGAGCAGCTGTAGGCTTGTTGTGCAGAAGACAGGGGTAAAGTTCATACCTAAATCTGATATGTAATACTCCACACTTCCAGGAATTCTCCAGACCTGCAGATGATTATTATTCAGTTATTCTATAGCTTAATTGTGGGCGGGTGCCACTAACAAGCTACTCCGTCATTTAATAGTTAACAGAATAATGTATTGTGCTGTGAAAGTTGGGTTTTTTTTTTTTTGTAGTTTCTCGGGAGTCATACAGGTATGATATCTGGAGGAAAGCACAAATATCTGATGCCCTTACATGACTCTGGTGCGTGTCTGTGACTGTAAATGTGTGTGGCTGCTCGTAGCTGGACACTGATGCAGGTGTGGATATTCACCTATGCACCAGTGTCGTGCTGACAGCCGGTGTGGACCTAAACCATCGGGGCGACACACCCAGCAGATGCCCAGCACCTCTCGGGATCCGAGTGAACTCTGCTAGCTCTGCCGGCGGCCACTTACCTCCCTGCGATCCTGCAGGCACTCCAGCACGGCCAGGTTGTTGGTCCAGGTGTGTTTGGGGCAGAGGCGGGTCAGATCCTCCCGGCAGGCCTCC